TATATATATATATATATATATACACACACACAAACTGTTTGAACCACGTATCAAATCTCGTATATACAGCATCATGACCAAATTGACCCATGAAGTGACTGTGACACATCAAATATTTTTAGTAATTGCATCAATATGTAGTCACAGTAAATTTTATATTTTGATAACTAATAAATCAATATTTGAAAAATTATATAACTTCGGGACAATTTAGCAACACATGAAGTGTAGCTGACTTGTACTCCATATCACTCAAACTTCTCTTTCTAACACTCTCGGCCTGGTTGATTGAATATGGACATTGGTGGATATAATGGATCATTCACACATTCGACCGTGTGCCTATTGGGCCTATTCCTAGAACATGGTACGTTACTCTCAAAATAATAAGAACAAAAATATGCAGTTTCCTTTGCAAGATAGGCTTCACATATAGATCCTCCAGTCCTATTTCTCTGCTTAACAAATTGTTTGCATTTGCCAATTGTCCTACATAATGTCATGTTAGCCAAGAACATTCAAATAAAATAGAATATTACATCAAACTTATAATATTACCTCTCAAAGGGATACATCCATCTGCATTGAACAGGCCCTCCAAGTCGTGCCTCGTGTACAAGGTGTATTGGAAGGTGTTCCATCACATCAAAGAAACCACATGGGAATATTTTTTCTATCTTACTAGAAATTACACGAATGTTCTGGTCCATCCGAAGTAGGTTTTCTTCCCTTAATGTGGTAGAACACAAGTTTTTAAAAAATAAACTAATCTCTGTGATGGGTTTCCAGATTCTTTCAGACAAACCACAAAATGCAATAGGCACTAAGGTCTCCATGAAAACATGGCAGTCATGACTTTTCAAATGGCTCAACTTCCCTACCTCCATATCTACTTTTTTTCCAAGATTCGGCGCATAACCCTCAGGCATCTTCAATTTCGTAATCCAATCACAAATTTGTCGTCTTTCCTCCAAAGTGAATATGTAACTTACTTTGGGCTTGAACACCTTACCATTGTTTGTTGTCTGCAAGTATAATTCAGTCCGCCTGTAATATTCTTATAAGTCCATTCTAGCCTTTGGGTTATCTTTTGTCTTACCTTTAACATCCATCACTGTGTTGAATAAATTGTCAAAATAATTCTTCTCAATATGCATGACATCAAGGTTGTGTCGGAGAAGATTATCCTTCCAATAAGGCAACTCCCAAAATATACTATGTTTCGTCCAATTATGATTAACACCATATCCGGGGAATCTATAAGATGGAGTCTCAGTAACTTTACTGAAGTTCTGGACCATCTCCCAAATTTTCTCACCTGAAAGTATCGGAGGTGGAGAATCATATTCGGGCATATTGGTCTGATGGTAATGTTGGGCGCAGATACTGGATGTGTCTCCACAGGTTTGAAAGCAATGACGAAAATCATTTTATGTTTGAGGAATGGTATGATGAACCCATTAACCAGGAATACTATAAATCATGTTTGCAGTATATTTGGAATATGAACAGTGAATACCAATGCCAGATCTCTGAATTGCAACGAGAAATTACGGAATTGCAGGAGAAACTAAAAGATGCAGAAGAAGAAAAAAATAAAATGGAAGAGAAATTTAAGTGATTGGAGCAGAGAATAATAGGCGGTAGTGACTAAACAAACACATGTATGTGTTGAGTGTAGTATTTTATCTTTATGTTTTCCGTGTCATATATCTTCATTAGTTGTACTGAATTTAAATTATGTTAAGTTGCTATGTTTGTGTTTGTGTTTGTGTTGTAGTATTAAAATAACGAAGAACCAGAGAAACAAAAACATAATGCGCATATAATGTAAACAATAAAAATTATTGCAATTATTTACTGAATGTCATATGTACATAAAATACAAAAAAAATCAATGCGTCCCACATCATGTATGCTTTAATGAAGCCGTTGGCCTGAGGCGCATCCCATCCCGCCCGGCTACGCTATCAGGATCATCCTCATCACATCGCCTCTTTATCGGAGGATGCGCTGCAGCATGATCGTCAGTAGGGCTGGCAGGCTCGTTTGAAGGGGTCGTCTGCCCAGCAGTAACCTACAGAATATAAGATATTTCAGTATATAAAAATATATATTTGTAATGTACGTGTTAAGTCACAAAAATTTAAATTGTCTTACCATGGTCTCGTCGGGCTCCTGAATATAATCATCCGGCGCAGCCAGGTCAGTATCGCACAAAGTGGCCTCCGTGACGGGCGAAGATGAAGCCTTAATAAAAAAAACATAAAGGTATTTATGGATAATCAATGAAATAAAAATAAATTTAAATGTAATAGTAATACAAACATACCTGCGCCTGTGAAAGATCCCCAACATCCCTCGATGATGAGCCATAACTCAGTCGGCGCCTACTATCCACATCTTGTGTCGGCCGATCATCAGCAACGGTCGATACTGAAAAGACAGCGGGCCATTATCTGATATCACGTTGTTGGAAAATATAATATCCCACCCAGAAATAATATCCACGGTAAATAACAATAACACAAGAAAGTAATAACGAAATCAAATCTTTTAAAGGAGTAAAATACAATACACGAGCGGAACAATATAACACCACTATAATATTATAACTTGATAGTGTCAAAAAACTACTACAATTTTAAAAAAAATAATACTCTTTATTTTAAATACTTTACTACGATATTACTCTCACTCTCTGTTTATCTCACAGACTATAATCCGTAAATTACTTTCTACGCTCTATTGCGTTCTCTCTCATTTTGGTGTATCTGAATAATAGAAATAAGCTCCTATTTGTAGGAAAACTTTCCAACTTTTGAACCAATCAAACTGGTTCATTTCATTGCAATTTGCTTTGCAAGTTGCCACTGTCCAAAGCTGTTTTGGTTTCAGCCGTCCTTAGCATTGCATCTTGTTCTCATTTTTTTTCTTTTTTCTTTTATTCTTTTTATTAGATGGGTCCCACATTAGCTTCGTTAGTTTTTAGTTATGTTTATTATTATTATTATTAGTATGTGCAATAATTAGTTTGTTACAACAAGTATTTTTGCACTTTGTTAAATTTAATGGAGTAAACAAGTAGAGTACTACTTAGTATTTTGGTATAGCTTGAATTGATTTTTTTGTAAAATTCTGAAATTTTTGAAGTTTAATAATTTTTTATATTTACAAAGCACATATATAGGTATGTAGTTATTTTTTATTATTCTTTTGTTATTTTTATTTTTTAAGAGCACGGCTTCAAAACAAAATAAAGAGCAGAGGGTAAAATTCGTTTGTTATGCCTAATGGTGCTTCTATTGTCAAACGTTCTAGATGACTTTAAACCCGCTTGCACATTCTGAATCTACCACTGCTGGCAACCCATTATGGATAAAACATTTATTAAAGCAAACAGTATACATTTCTTATGGAACAAATCTTAAAGAAGTTGATATTCCTGGCTTTTAGTTCCATCAGCAAAAGTATATTACGTTTCTTTGGAGTTAAGACTTGCATTGCTATCTGAGCACCATGACTGAAATAGCTTTGCGTAAAGATCTTTTTCTTTCTTCAGAGAAAAGAAAAAATTTAAGAAGCAATCCAAGCTGTTTACCAGAAACCTAGTCAGCGTTATATACCCCAATTATCGCTTCTATAGGGGAATAATGAATTCTACTTTGCAGCAGGAAACCGTTAGGATCAACATGTCGATTTAGTACTCTTCAAACCTTAAACAACTTTACCTCAAAAACCTTTAACTAAAAATATACAAAGCTGGAGAAGTCCTCAAAGAAAAGAAAAAAAAATCAAAAGGAAAGGAGCTTCTCTCACTATTCCTTTTTGAGACGGCAAAGAATACTGCATGCTACAGTTTACATACCTAAGCTTAAAGCTTCAGCGCGCTAAGTTATAAGCCATTTCAACTGCATGCAAGTTCTTGGGAACACGAGTAGATAGACCACAAAGGGGAGATTCAGAATTTAAACTTAATATACTCTTAGTTTGCCATGGGATTATTAAGAGTATCCGTGCTAGCTACTTCTAGTGCATGCAAACACATGCTCTGAAGAATCCAGGAAGGAAGATGAAAGAGCTTGAAATTAGATAAAAGGGAACAGTACTTACTTACAGAAGTATATCTTGTCACTATAGTAACTCTGCAAAGTTGCGCTGAAGAAGTTGAAAAGTGACCAAGAGAGAATAAAATGAAATTAAGAGAGATGATTGTAACAGTATTTTTGATAGTTTTTCTACCTCAAGTTTAGACTAAATACTGTGAAAATATATATAGTTACCAACTTATTTGGATAATGGTCTTTTTCCAAGGAACATATATACTCATTTAGTATGTTTTCCCTACTCATTGACCTCAATCTTTGGAACTTTAGAAAGAAAGGAGTACAAGAGTAATTTTGCTAACAGAATGGTATCCTAGGACAAAAAATATTTTTTCGAAGCCAAAAGTGGTGTGTGAAGTCAAAAACATAGGTATACGCGCGCATGGCATGAAGATGATGAGCACCTGGGAATTATGATTGAGTGTGAATGAAGTTAACATCATTAAAGATTCTCCTCACCCATGTGACTGCTATTATATATGCTCTTCTTTCCACTCACTAAAAAGGATTTTTTTTCCTATTGAATATAAATTACTATGTTTTACTCTTCTTTTGATCAAAATAAAGACTCTAAGCAGGACATGTTTCTCGTCGTAATCTGGATCAGATATATAACTTCTTCAAGTTTGTAAAACTAAGCAAATTGAGAAAATCCTAAGTTAATTTCCCGTCCAAAAAACAAATGACCATGTGCCAGGTAGCAATAACGTTCACTTGCCATTTCTCAGTGGTCTTTCAAAAATAGCCATATACCGTTTCAAATGTCACAAGCACCGTGATACAGTTTGTGAAACTTCGTAACAATGGCTATTTTGCAACCACATGGGCTGAAAAGTGACAATTTGTGAATCCTACCCAATTTCAGCTCCTTCCATCTTGGAAAAAGGATAAAAAAATAAAACCGCAAATTTGCATATTTGCCTGCCAACAATCGTAGTATGTTTTTTGTAAATACCTTTGACATTTACGTGAGAAAATGGAGCCTCATCCTAGCAATGTTAATATTTTGATGGAAATTAATTATTACCAATTTAAAGTTCAAGCCCCACTTTTGCTTACTTATCCCTTTTATTTTTATAAATAAATAAAGCTCAAACAATTGAAAATAAACCCAATGAGTGCGAATCCCCTTAATATAGTATTAAACTTCTGGTTTTGTTTTAACAAAAAATTACATACAGATTTATTGCTTTCTTTAAGCTTTTTTATGTAAAACAAAGTCTACCACTTAATTGAAAGTTTCTATGAATTTAATTAGCTGATATTAAATTCTCGAGAAACAAAAAGAAACCCTCGTTCTTGTGAAACCTTTTTTCTAGTTTAAACTAAAATATCTACAAATGATATGAAACAACGAAAGCAAAATCACTTCAACCAGCATCCGAATCGCTTTCCTTGGACACCTTTTTTCCAAGAAAATCCCCAAATCGAATTTCACATGCCACAACCAACTACGAAGCAAAAGAAACTCTTCGCTTGACCAGATATTATTCAATCCCAGTTAGACGCTGGTACAGCTGTTTGATAAAATACAACGGCAATATCTACAATGTGCGCCAAAAAATATGCTCTTTTATTTATCAAAATGGAATTATTTTATCATTTTTCTGTAAAAGCAGGTTCCCTAAGTCATTTATATGTACAGAAAAGTGAAACTAATATATATCAGATACAATGTAGTAATTACAGGCTCGGCACCAGGACACTTTGGAAACCTCAGACCTGTACTCAACCAAAGCTTCTGTTTTAACCTGCCTCAGTGAAAGACATACCATAACTGTATCACAACGAAAGGTAGATATAATCACATGTGCAGAAGATTATTCACAGTAACAGTCACTGAGTGAGTTCGTTGTAAATCCTGCAATCAAATTTATCAACTTAAAATTGCAATTTGGAAAGAAGCACCAACACAGGAATGTAAAGTCAAAGAGATAATGAATTGTTCATGGTTGAAGCAAATATAGAACTTATTAGTCCATGAAATTATTAGCTAAATATGTAAAGTAATATTTTCCAAGCAGCAGGATATTGCAGCAACGCAAATTACACTCTTTTTGTCAATTTACACTCTTCAGGATGGAGGAATTACTTGGATATTTATTTACGAGATATTATAGTTTTTCTTTTTCCTTTTAGGTTGGAGAGTGAGGAATGGGGAATGGGGGAAGGGAAATAGCACAAAGCAAATTTCTCCAAGGAATGTCAACAAGATGGTCAGTTAATGTGGTACTGTAATCGCTATTTTGCGTGTATATTGCACCAGCCACCCAAATAATGGGCATTGAAATATGGACTTACTGCTATTTAGCACTATATAACATAGCTTTCACCACCCTCTTTTACTTAATATAAAGGGACTTTAACTCGCTCGCCCAATTTATGTGAGGTAGTTTGGCTGAACTTGGAATTTAAGAAAGAAATAAAAACTTTTGAAACTTGTAGTCTAAAACACGCCATAGAAATTTTTGTGGATATACATCAGCTCATTAAGGGCAAAATGGGAAGTTTAAAGTTCAATTGTTTCTAAAAATAGAAAGGAACTATTCTTTTTGGGATAGACTAAAAAGGAAAAAAGTATCACATAAATTGGGACAGAGGGTGTAATACCATGTCAAGGGGAATGACAAGGACAAAGATCACAGAACTATGAATTTCTTCATTTCCCCTGCCCTACCATTTATCTGCAAGAACACCAGCCATTCATTTCGTTTTTTCATATCTTTCACTTTTTATAATTAATACTGACGCTACAAGTAGATGCGCACTCCTCCAGGTGCCAATTCCCTTTCTACTGATCTTTAGACTAAACAGAACAGTCAAATGGCTGTAGAGAAAACAATAAATCACATTCGTATTTCATGGGAAAACCTCTAAACAAATGCGACCATACCTCAAGAATAATTTCATCAGGTATGTGTGGCAGCACTTCTCTAACAGTTTCAACCATTGTATATATGTTGGATACATTGTTGTTTGTGGCACGTGAGGGTGTCCTCAAGTGCAACCCTCCAGCACCTCCGACATGCCTCACATTACCTGCGGGAGGGATTGCTGAACTGGAAGTACCAGCTTGAGAGGCACGCATAGACCAAAGGTTCCAGGCAGCATCTTCTAGAGCAGTTTGTGCGTATGTTTCTCCAACAGCTGCGAGATGCCTCATCACTGTCTGAACTCTACCCAGTCCCCCTGATCTGATGCCTGTAGATGGTCCAGCATCATCTAAGCCCAACCAACCTGAATCAATTCCCGAACCCCTGTAGACAGAAAGGAGAGCAAAATTATTGACCACTCTCTGTTTTTAGGTGATGAGAAGATACTGCAAAAGATGACAATTGACAAGCAACAGAGCATCAAGAGAATGAGAAAGAAAATGGCCCATTAGTAAGAGAATTCAATCTATGATACAGATCAGCATTTGTCAAGGACCTCCAATGCAAAGTTTCAAATGCATCATTAATATGCACCAGAAATGCAATAATACAAACAATATCTATCAAGCACTGATAAACTGTGTTACAAACAACAAATGTTCCACTTTTTGCACAAACAAGTGGCCATCATATCACCTTTAAAATAACTGTCAATCACAAAGTAGTTGAGTCGGCTATAAGGATTCCTTAAACTCTGCTATCTTCACTCTTTTCATTCCAATACTCAATAAATTAGGAGTTCCCAAACTAGAGGTCTCTAAATATCGCTTAATCCTAAGACGACATACAAATTTATAATCAAAATAAAAAGACCTATGCCCGGATCTGCTGCAAATGTAGCAATACAACTAAGCCACAATGTCAACTAGTTAGTATCAATTCTATGGATCTTTTGTTTTCCATTTTGTTATGTTTGTTATGAAGTCCTCGTGGATTCTGAAAATTTGTAGATCTCTTCAAACAACTTCCTTCCACGTACTTTTAGGTTTATCCTGTCCCTCTTTAAAACTTTCAATTATCATGGTGATGCACCAATGAACTGTCACATTTGGACGACTAGGTTGTACATGGTCAAACCATCTCAGTTAACCTCTCTATTTTACATCCATATTGCTGCTTTTTTTAATAACCATCTGTTGAATGTAATTACTTCACAATATCCCACAGTGGCCGGTTAATGAAGTCCACAATCTCCCACAGTTGGCTGAAATTCTTGGCTGTAACATAGGATGATTGCCTTCCACTAGGGTCTCCCATTATACTACAAACACAAGTGAACTGCCATCTAAGTTGCTCGGACATGGGTGCGGGTGTCCGACACAGGTGCGGATCTAGATGTCGGATCCTTGAGATATAAGTTCTAAGATTCGGGGAAACGGATCCTAGTATAGATACGGGTGCGGAGATCCAGCTAAAAATAATTCAAAAAATAAAAATATAAAAATATCTCTAAATTATGAGAAATTTTATGGACTTACGTATAACTTGTAAAGTGTGGATTTCTTTATTCTCAAGTTGTAGATAAGTAAAGGACTGATTTCCTAGATAAGATCAGTGTTTTGGATAGTGTGCAGTGACAAATAGCGACGAGGGCCCGCTTCACTGAGGCGAGAGGCGAGAGGCGAGCAGCGAAACGCTCGTATTTTTGATGTGAAGCGACAATTTATACAAAAAAATAAAAAATGATATATATATATATAAAAAAAAAACTAAAAACTCAATAGCAATAATATATTATAAATATATCAATTCAATAAAGCTCTCTGCCTCTGCCCAAACCCAAATTGAAGCTGTGAAAAATTGAAAAACAAAAAAGAGCAGAAAAAAGAAAGAAGAAGAGTAAGAACTGAAGAAGCTCTCTGAACAGAAGAAAAAACAGAGCTTTTCTCAGACTGTTCTGTTGAGTGCAGCAGCAGTGATAAAAAACAGAGCCAAAAAAAAAAAAGAGAAGAAGAAGAAAAAGGAAGAAAAAACAGAGCAACACAGACTCTGTTCTGTTGCAAAACAGATCCCAAAACAAGAAGAAAGAAGAAAGAAGAAAATTGGACAGAGTCACAGAGCAGAAACTTGAAGAAAGAAGAAAGGAGAAGAAAGAAGAAAAGAGATGAAGAGAAGCATACCTGATGAAGAAACTTGAAGAAGAAAGGAAATCGCTGGTCTGCTGTCGACTTGAAGGAGAAAGAGTAAAAAAATCGCGAGCCCTAATTTTTTGTTTTAACAGATCGCTGCTGCCTTCTTCTTCTTTTCTTTTTTGCAAAAAGCGACGCCACAGCTCGCCACACGCTACAGAGACAGAGGCGCTCGCCTCTTTGAAAACGCTACGCCACACTGTAAAATAGCGATGGCAGCTCGCCTCGCCTCACGCTATTAGCGCTGAGGCGAGCGCTATTTACAACACTGGATAAGGTATGCTATTTTCTTCAATTTACCTAATTTTGGTTCTGATTTCGGGAATCAAATTGTATCTCGTCTCGTATTTTCCCGTCCGTCGTGGTCAAAGTACCAAAATTGTTTGACCAGATCCAGTACGAATCCCATACCCACACCCATACTAGTGTCCGTGTCGATACGGGTGCGGGCACCTAAATTGCCATGTCGGAGCAACTTAGACTGCCATCTAGAACAGCATTCTGGAGAAATGCGAGAGGAAGCTGTCCACAGCATTCTGGTGGCAGACTGGTACTTGTAAACAGCGTTTTGGATGTCTTACTGGCTTATACCATGGCATGATTTCCGTTGCCTTATTCTGTAGCCAAGAGGCTAGACAAAATCCGCAGAGATTTCCTATGGCAAGGGAATAAAGAACAAATACTTCTTCAACATTGATAATTAGAAAGTTGTTGTGACTGAACAGAAAGCCGATGGTCTCAGGGTAAGAACTTACAAGTTCAAAATGACAGCCTTCCTCGTAAATGATTATGAAGATTCACAAAGGAGGATCAAGCACTATGAAGAGAAGTCATTGAAACAAGTAAGGAATGTTCTATTAGTGGATAACAAAGCCCCCAACCAAGTATTATGTGATGAATTGGTCATGGAAAATGCTATGGAGAACCAAAGCACCTCTCAAAGTGGATTGTTTTGGATGGGTTACCATCGGAGAAGCTTGTTTAACTCAAGATAATCTACAGAGAAGAGGCTTTTCCTTAAGCAACAGGTGTTATCTATGTGAAGAAAGTTTGGAATCAGTAAATCATCTCTTTATTCACTGCAAAGTTACTAAGCAATGCTGGGAGCTCTTTCTAAATCTTTGTGGTGTCATTTGGGCTATGCCTTCAGATATTAGGAGTCTAATTGATAGCTGGACCATTTGGGCAGAAAGAAAGTGTTTGTTTTGAGAATAAGAAAACAATATTTCTAGTCTCAAAAATTTATGTCTGCATAATTTGTTCTTTTTTGTGTAATAGGTGTTTATTAGATAGTATGGTATGGATCAGTATCTGGAATTTTTGGATTTGTTGGGAAAGATGTAATAGAGTGCTCTCTGTAGGTGCTGTCTGCTCTTTTTTGTACTCTTGTGTACCTTCTTGGTACACTTTTTATTAATAATACTTTACCTTATCAAAAAAAAAGTCTTAAGGCTTCTCTGTATGTCAGGTCACATTAGGACTTTCTAGGCAACACCTATTTTCAGTTGGGAGAAGGAAGGAAGATAAGCTTTTGGCATGATTCTTGGATGGGTCATACCCCTCTCGAACAACAATTCTCGGAAGTCGGACCTCTTTGCTTTGGCTTCCAATTAGGTAGCTCCTGTTGCTGATCATTGATCCAACCAAGGGTGGAATTTTGATTTTCGAAGGGATTGCAACAATTGGGAATATGATAGAGTGCCCGTTTGGATTGGCTTAAAAAAAGTACTTTTTCGGCAGAAATAGCTTTTAAGCCAGAAAGTAATAAGTTGGGGTTGCCTAGCTTATTGCTTTTGGCTTGTTTTAAGCAGTTTTTAGCCTATTTTACGCACTTTATAGCTTTGCCAAACCCTAAAACAAGTTTAAGAAAAGTTTAAAAGCTGATTTGACTAGCTTAAAAGCCCATCCAAACACCTCAAGAGTCTGCTTATTGCTACAAGGAATTCCATCTGTCCTAACAAACAAGACTGTCTATGCTGGAAGGGTACAAAAGAAGAGTTTTTTCTGTCAAGTCATGGTACTCCATTTCTCAGGACACCCATAACACACACACATCTTATCCTTGGTAATCCAATGCTTCATTTGGTTGGTCGGAAGAAATGCTTGCCTCACGCAGTGCAACTTCCAGAAGGGGATTAGTCATATGCAGCATGTCCTTTCTGTGAAGTGCATCAGGAGGATGAAAATCACTTATTTTGCGTCACTTTCCAGCTATGGGACATGCTTCTCGCTCTCTTCTCGGACTCAAATGGGCTATGCCTAGAACTGTTTTGGAACTTCTATAGAGTGGAATATTGGGGACTGAGAAGTATCCTCACAAGATTATGGTAAGCCATCCTAGCACCTATTTGGTGGACCACCTGGTAAGATGAATTCCATAATTTATGAAGACAAACAACAAAATATACTTATTTTTAAGTTCAAATGTATTCGTTTGTTATTTCTTTGGGACCATATGGCAACTGTAATGTCTCTCAAGATGTTGAGGCCATGTTTGACTTTTTAAACTCCTTACATATTCTGTTATAACTAACAGAAGCTAGTTATTGGCTCAATGCTCCAGCACAACCTTGTTGCTGCTCATCCATATATAAAATAATACCTTATCAAAACAATCTGTGAATGCATCAGCAAAATAGCATGCGCTATGGGACCTCAGCTTGCATACTATTAGCTAGCTCATCCATAACTAAGGTAAACGATTAAGGGCTCAAAAGTGAATCCTTGAACTAATCACACAGCTATAGGAAAGTCCTTTATAAGACCACCCTACTTCTCACATTTGTGAAGGCTCCTTCACAGATATATTATCACATTTATATATTTTGTATGAATTCATTTCTTCTCCAACACCTATATATAGTGGCATATGGGGTAAGAAGCAGTTACCAACAATAACACAAGAAAACAGACCTCCAATCACTGCTTTCAAGAGGGTTGTGCGTTTGATTGCGGGAAACTTCATTTGGAAGTGCATGACCAGGAAGATTCAACCGATCAAGCCCCATACTCATCTCACGAGCAAGCAGCTCGTCACCCCGAACATCTGCAGTATGAGGATTTACCTCATTCTCGCTTCTGCCTATAAACAACGGCTTCCGGCAAGTGGGACATGAATAATTTTCAGTTAAGCCTTGATCTAACCTGTAATTATTTACCATGTAAGTATATGAAGTTTCTTGATAAGATTGCAATTTACACTACCTGGTAAACATTTCAAGCAATAAATACAGGCCATACCAAGATCTCAAGCATGAAAGATGGAAAAGATGATTACAAGATAGCTTTTTCGCCTTTGCCATTGGTTCCTGTTGTTATCCAACATATCAAAGGCTTATATACATTCAGAGCAAAAAGAATAAAATGAAACAAAACGAAAATAGAATAAAAACAAGGAAGCTATAAAGAGGGGGAGGGAGATACCCTACAAATAGCGCATTCATCATCATAAGTCTGTAGCTCTTCCAAAGTTGCATCAGGAAGTGCACCATGAAGAGTGCCCAATGCTATTCTCAGTTTAATGAACCCTTTGACACGTTTTACAATAGCACTCAATAAAGCCTGCTCAAAATGAACTAATTTTAGTAACACTGCATGGACAAACTAAACATTAGATAGAAGAGGGCAACAGAGGTATTTGAAAAATTATGAGATTACATTAATTCATATAGATAGATATTTACACGGATATTTAGGAAAAGAACTGCATCCACTAGATGAAATGCCATGCCATGGAGCCACCAAATGTGCACATAATGAGCGAGAGCCATCAACAGAGTCATCATGTCTAGGAGAAAACCCATATTCCGAATAAGAATGCCTTTCCATTCCCCAAATGAGCCTGTACGAGGTTTACAGGAATGAGATAGGAGACTGGAGATGGATGAAAACATAAAAAGAACCATTATATCTTACTCGAGTTAATATCCTAGATACATCAGTCCTGCATGAACAGGGTATGGGGAAGACGGATAAAAAGTGTTTCAGAGCACAGACTTCACATGAAACAACCCACAGAAGTCAGAACAGAAGCAGAAAGAAAACTTTGTCTGCATCCTCCAACTGGATATACATTCAGACTAGCTCAGCACTAATGCACATATACCCTTCATTAGCTATGAGTAGGGTGCATTTGATTAGAAAAACTTCCAAATGAAAGATAACTTCTCAAGTAAATGAACTTAGCAAAATCATATAAGTGGAATATCTCATTAGTACTGATAAAGAGTAAGGCAGGAAAAACAAAGAGGATCAAACTCATTCAGAAAAGGATCAATATGTGTGTGTGTGTGTGTGTGTGTGTGTGTGAGAGAGAGAGAGAGAGAGAGAGAGAGTGGAGAAAACATTTCAAAAGAGGGTCGATAAATCAAACAAAAATCTCAAATGCAGAACATTGAATAAAAATCCACTACAGTACGGCACGGTGCATCTAAAATAAATCACAGAAGCTCATTAATCAATCAACAAGACCACCTACAGAAAAAGTTACCAGAATACAAATTACCTGCAGCAGATATGTCAAAGAGCTTGGATATTCGGCTATTTGAAATATCATTTGCCGAGTCATGGATATATATGTCGAGCAACTGGAATCCATGAACAAGAATAGCCTATAGAGAAGGATTTGCATACAAAATGCAATTGTTAACATGCTTTTGAGAAGGTCACAAAACAAAATCAAAAGTGCATTGCGTATCTAAGAGAAGTAGAAGCTATAACCTTCTTATGTACAGTACCTGAAGCGTCTCAAATGCAATGCTAAGAGGCTCAAAGAACAATAACAAAAACAAGGATGAACTTATTGTTCTATATACAACCAGGCACACCCTCATCCTGGAAGAGAACAAAGAAAAGTGTAGTTAGAAAAGTCGTAAAAAAGACCAGATGGTGTACTTGAAGCACGTTATATGTCACCCAAGGAAAGCAACTGAAGATTTGGTTCCAGTATAGAGAGTCAAACACTCAAACATCAACATTGTTCAAGAAATACCTCTCATGATTTCTAAAAGGGACCCTTATGGACCACGGTCTCTTATTGTTCGATCATTCATTCAGACACACCTAAATTTTTAGAATACATACTCCAAGTTCTAAAAAGAATAGAAAGGGCTTCGGAGAAATGCACAAAGATGCAAATCACCAATTCCAGGCATCCACCAAGGAATGAAGGTTTCGAAAACGGAAGCAGAGAGCTGAGGGAAATGGATTGAAAATGGATTCTCTCAGGAGCCAGAGTGTAGGGAAGTCCAGCCTTATTGAGGGCTTGGTGTCACAATAGGTACCCCACTAAGAGGCTTAACTCTGGATGCTGACCTGCCTTTGCTGTTTCCTTTTTTACTTACACAACATTATTCATGTTACCAAAGCAATGATCTAAGCAAGAAGGTAAAACATAGAGATGAGTTCCCTTCTACAATCATACAACTAAATCTTTCCCATTGTGCAGTGTTATCAAAGGCAAAAAGTAGCAAAAAATGCTAAGCTCCATTAGGGATCTAAGGCAATTAAGAGAAATTTAAATTAAAAAAACGAATTAAAACTATTACAAGTAAGAGAAATATTTATTGTTTAGTATCACTTCTTCAGGGCTACTCTCCGTTGGTGATAGCTAAATGCCTTAGCACCTTGGTGGCTGCACCGAAGCGCCAGTTAAGCGAGGGGAAGCACTCAGCCTGTTCTGCACCTAAGTTCAGGCCTTAAACGTGCCTTATGCGAACCATTGGTAATATTGCAATTGTGTTAGCAGATTCAATCAGACAAGCTTCCCAATGTGGTTTTCCCTCTTCCGGCGCTCTTCTTCAGGTCCTCAATCCCGGAGCTAATGCTACCACTTGTGTGTTAGCATATAGTAAAACAGATTTTCCAAGTTGCTATATACATGGAAATGCATTATCGGGTAAGGAAATCATTCTAAAAGTTGCATTCGCTCTAATACGGTGCTACTCAAGAAGGATAGCCCACTGGACTAAGGCCTCTTTCTCCTTTCCTTCTTTTTCCTTTTTCGTTTTTTTTTTTTTTTTTTTTTTTTTTGAGAATGGTAACATTTTCATATATATTTCATTTATCCTTTTTTTTCTTTAAGATTCTAGAGTCTTCCCAACCAAACAAAAGCAACACTAGAGAGAGAAGGAGAAGGCAACAAAGGTTTCTACAATGGGAAAACTCTCACCTATCTGCAATCTCCATGGAGGCCACATCACCCTTTTTTTTTTCCTTTTCTATTCATTCTTCTTTTAAGCCTTCCAATAGTTCCTACCTTCCGATCTTTCCCTTGTCCATCTTCCTCATCACTCGCTGGTTCTCCTTTTCATTCTCATTCTCGGATTTGCAGCAGTCTCTATGCCATCTTAAAGCTGCTTCTCCCTTTCATTCTCCACTTTGCAGCAGTCTCACTGCTGACAGAATATATGGTATCAATCAACTCAAGAATGGATCACTTTCGAAAAAGGTACTTTCAATCACGAAATGACTCTACCGAAGGTCAGACCTTGACCTAATAGAGGCAACACTGGTGGTTGAGGTTGTAGGAGGAGTTGAGCGAATGAATCTGGTAAGAATATTCTTCTGTTTTCTCTAGTCAAAGACCGGCATGGTTCTGAATGTTGGCCAGTCAAGAATTATCATATCCAGAAAAAGAAAGTAGCATAAATGAGGATGTTGAGATGGATGTGCGGGCACACTAGGCTGGATAAGATTAGGAATGAAGATATTCGGGTGAAGGTCGGCGTGGCTCCCATGGAGGACAAGATGCGGGAAACGAGGCTTATAGCCTGTTTGGCCAAGCTTTTTTTTGGGCCAAAAGTGTTTTTTTCCAAAAAATAAGGTGTTTGGCCAAGCTTTTAGAAGGAAAAANAGCCTGTTTGGTCAAAAGTAATTTTTTTTTCCAAAGTTAGGAAAAGAATTGTTTTTGAATAGAAGCAGGTTTGAGAAGCAAAAAAAAAAAAAAAAAAAAAAGTAGCTTCTCTCCCAAAGCACTTTTCTGAGAAGCACTTTTGAGAAAAATACACTTAGAAACAGTTTTTAAAAGCTTGGCCAAACACTAATTACTGCTCAAACGTGTTTTTCAACTTAATTAGCCAAACACAAACTGCTTATCACCAAAAGTACTTTTTTGAAAAGTACATTTGAGAAAAGCACTTTTCAAAATAAGCTGATTTTAGAAGCTTGGCCAAACAGGCTATTAGATGGTTCGGGCACGTGCGGAGGAGGAGCTTAGATGCCCCGGTAAGGAGGTGTGAGCGGCTAGCTTTGTCTGGTATGAGGAGAGGCAGAGGACGGACTAAGAAGTATTGGGGAAAAGTGATCAGGCAAGACATGGCGCGGCTTCAAATTTCCGAGGACTTGGCCCTTGATAGGAAGGTGTGAAGGTCGAGCATTAGGGTTGAAGGTTAGGAGGTAGTTGAGCGTTTTTCTACTTCGTACTGGGTGTGGGGCTAGCCTGATAGTGTTTTGTCTTAGACTGCTAGTGGTTCATGTTGTGCCCATACTACTTCCTCGTGTTCGTAGTATTGTGCCATCGTTACTGTTTATTGTTATTGTTTGTCTTTCTACTTTCTGGTTTCTACGTTGCTGGTATTATCTTTCTGGCTTCTGTTGCTTTTACTGATCTACTGTCTATTTTCGTCTTCTTGAGCCGAGGGTCTATCGGAAACAGCCTCTCTACTCCTCCGAAGTAGGGGTAAGGTCTGCGTACACACTACCCTCCCCAGACTCCACTTGTGGGATTGTGCAGGGTTGTTGTTGTTGTTTCTCTAGTCAAAGACCATGTTTTGTCTGAACGAATCCTGGATGGATACCATAGCTACACCAGAATCATAACATGCCGACACCCATCAGCGGCAAAGACAATACACATACAATACCTTCTATATCCTAAAAACTAAATATGGTCTTAAAAGAAAAAAAGTGGCCTATGCCATTATATAATGCACAATAAACAGATTTAGGTCTAGGAATTACCAGAGTAAGTTGGCAGAGAAAACCAGCAATAAGGCAGAATACACACGGAAGTATGTCCAGGGAGTAGCTGAAGGAGAGGCATTCAGTCGTTCAAGTCGATCCCTAGCTAAAGCTTGAAACATCTGGGCAAACATATATTTAGATTTGTCCAAGATTAGACGCTCAAAACCCCAACATTCACAAGCTTAGAGAAGACAGCAGTAGATACCTTTAAAAAGCAAAGAACAACGAGCCACGTTGACCATAGGCCTGCCTGATACAGCGTTGGTGGAACTACCAATGGAAGAAAAGTTCCCTGGAAATAGTTATCAGTGGACAGAAATACTAAAACACTTCCAATATAACTATTAGAGAAAAACATGAATGCGATAATTACTTCATTGACTTCATTAGTATAAAGTTTACACGTAGAGGACAACATGAATGTAGTAATGACTAAGCTAGCAAATGTAAACATGGATCTGTAAGTCTCAAGCACTGAGTTAGAAATGCTCTAGATCATTGCAGAGAAGTGATTCAGAACTCCTGCAGTTGCTCATCAGTGAAAAATCGCCATGACAAGACATACACAATCAAGCCAACAGTTTAAAACAATTCAAAGACTATATGTTGCATTAAAAGCTTAAAAAAAGCACAAACTTCATTTATCAAAAAAAAAAAACAGAATATATCTTCAAACTTAAGCTTTCTTAATAAGAGAGACACATCAAATTCTTGAACTTGGAAAATTTCTTCCTTCGATATCATGTTGTTGGATTTCAACATGTAGTAATCTGACAACAGTGATATTGATGGTTACCCTGTAACCTTTGTGAACATTCCGGGGCTTATTTGAAGAATGATTAAAAGCAGACATCTCAAATTGGAACCAGACATGGATTGAATAATTATCCTAAAACATCAAAAGTTTCCAATATAAAATAAGAAGAAATCAGAGAAAGCTAAAATCATCAGAAGAAATTGAGATCTTCAACTCCTGAACTTAGAACACTCCATGATATTAAAAAAAAATTGTTATAGATAGCAAGTCCAAGTCCAACAAAATAATTGCATGCCGGTTCTCCCTACTTTCCTCGGGCATATATATCTTGGAGCTATAACAATTCTTACAGTGCACTATCTTTAGTTCAATTCATTGACAAGAAGAACCCGCTGGATCAACTACTGGGGTATTGCATAGCAAGGACAGAGAGGTGCTAACCTAAGTTGCTCAGACATGGGTGCGGGTGTCCGACACGGGTGCGGATCTAGAGGTCGGATCCTTCGAGATGTAAGTTCTAAGATTCGGGGAGACGGATCCTAGTATAGATACGGGTGTGGGGATCCGGCTAAAAATAATTCAAAAAATAAAAATATCCCTAAATTATGAGAAATTTTGTGGACTTACGTATAAATTGTAAAATGTAGACTTCTTTATTCTCAAGTTGTAGATAAGTAAAGGAATGATTTCCTAGATAAGGTATGTTATTTTCTTCAATTTACCTAGTTTAGATTCTGATTTCGGGAATCAAATTGTATCTCGTCTCGTATTTTCCCGTCCGTCGTGATCAAAGTACCAAAATTGATTGACTAGATCCAGTACAGATCCCATACCCACACCCATACTAGTGTCGTGTCGATACGGGTGCGGCACTTAAACTACCATGTCGGAGCAACTTAGGTGCTTAACAATCTGAACCAGGCTAAAGCTCAGTCTATCACCATCTTTAGTTCAATTCATTGACAACAACCCAATGGATCAACTATTGAGATCTCCCGTAGCAAGGACTGAGAGGAGCTAATAATCTTAACCATGCTAAAGCTCACTTCTTTCAACAAGTTATCAAGAAATTGGAATAGAGCTAGTTTTAAAAGAGAGGCCTTCATCCCTCCCCCTTCCTAATTCTTTTTAATTTCTTTGCATCAGGTGCTCGTACTCACTTGGCTCAGCATTGCTCCAAGAAAGAAGGGAGAAGAGGTAACTATCACACATCAGCTTACTTAGTCCTCATTTGTTTGCACTTAATGCACGTCTGAATCTTAATTACTAAGTGCTGCCACCGCCTACCATTATTAACTACCCCCACCGCCTACCGTTATCACTACCACCACCATCCTCAACCATAGCTGCCACCACTACCATCACCCACCATCCCCACCACATCATCCTCAATCATAACCATACAACCAACCACCCCATCATCATCAACAACCATAGCCGGTACCGCCCGCCATCACCTTCCTCAATCACAACCAGCACCACCACCACCTACTACCATTTTTAACTATCACCACCACCATCATCATCACCATCCTCAACCATAATCGCCAGTAACTACTACCTAGAACCACCACCATTAACCAAAACCACTATTAACCACCGCCTCTAGTCGGTATTCACAAGCACCTCCGTTAGCCATCACCGTCACCAACTATCATATTTAAAAAAAATTATATTTTATTAATAGAATATTAGATTAATTAGTATTTTATTTGAATTTTATGTTTATTAATTTTTAAATAAAGATAACTTTTACAGAATTTTATGTTTGTTGTTGTTTATTAATTTTTAAATAAAGATAACTTTTATATATTCAGATGTTAAAAAAACAAACAGTTTTAATCATTTAGTATTCAGATTTTAATACACATCTTAATCTCAGACGTGTATTCAAATTCAGATGTCTTAATCTTAATACACATCTTGATATTCAGATATGTACTCAGATTCAGATGTCTTAATCTTTAAAAAAAACAAATGAGGCTTAATCATACAAATCAATGTTATGACATAATATTTTGCATGTCATTTAAAGGGGCCATAAAAAGTTCTTAAAAAGTAAAATCAAATGAGACAATGCCAACACTATATGTTGCATAACTCTTCTTAAGTCACAGAGTGTAGAGTTTTGAGCCATAATGATAGTCCTTCAACAGGGAAAGAAAAGAAAGTGAAAGTTCATCAAGGTTCTACACACCACCTACTATTCATATAACTAAGATATTTACCTTGGAAATAACATAATTGATGAGGCGCTCAACCAGCTTTCGTATTTCTGGTGAGTGCAAATCTCCAAAGAATATTGTCTGCAGAAAGCACAAAGATTGTTGACAACCAAATCTATCTGAGAAAGACGACCCAATTAAATTTATAGCTAATACCTTAAAAGTTGTAAAAAAAACTTGTGTTGTAAAAGGTCTATAAAAATTTAAAAAGGATTCGGGTGCACAAAGAGATACCTATTTTTCCCATGAACTTCCACTAGAAGGTCCTATTTCGAATGTTCACACCAATATTCAGAGACAAAGCCATTGCATGCATAAATGTCCAAGAAACTTACAGAAGAAATTAAAAGATTTGATAGCCATTCAGTAAGGCTGAAAGGGTGTCCTTTTCTTCTATACTGTTGTAGTACCTTCTTGGTACTTATCATTCATAAACGCGTTCTAACTCAGCTAATTTTGCCTCCTTTACTTCGGTAGACCTACTTCTAAGAGTGTAACTAAGGTTTCTCTCTATCACATATGCACGAAAATCTGAAAATTTGTCCCTGTGATTTGTGCTGAGAAATTGATCGATGTAGGATTTTCATCTCCTATTTGATCACACTATTTCCTCTCAGAATTATTTAGGAATCATCTACAGTTGAGTCTATACTTAAGTTTCTCTCTATCACATATGCACGAAAATCTGAAAATTTGTCCTCGTGATTTGTGCTGAGAAATAAATCAAAGTAGGATTTTCATCTCCTATTTGATCACACTATTTCCTCTCAGAATTATTTAGGAATCATCTACAGTTGAGTCTATCCCTCCACTCTCTCAGTGGTGCTAGTTTATATATTACTTTATTTCCTTCCCACGTCCATTAGTTTTGGTAGAAGTGATATATCTAAGGCTTTACCTCAAGCTTCATAATCACATTCTTTCTCTTGAACAGGAAAAGAAAAAGAATGTGATTATTAATGAAGCTTGAGGTTAAGATTCTTTTTTCGTTCTCTTATAGCTTTCAAAGGCTTCTCCATCTACTGTTGTTGGTAACAACTTCTTTTTTTTTATGATGATTGTTGGTAACTTCTTACATCACTCTCTTTTTGATTTAGCGCTTTGCATCTCCTTACTCCACCACCATGATTCTTGTGGTTGAGGTCTTAGTCTTTTAGACACGAACTTCATTTTCTACTTTCTTAATGCAACTTTTCATTTACTTCCACAGGCTCCCTCCTTCAAAAGCTTGTCCGTGAATACTACTTGGTTTGAGCCTTTTAGTATCGACTACCATGCTCCACTCTTTCACTTCACATCCTGCCAGTTTGTCCTATATGGTTAGGGCTTATCTGGTATAACCTGGTAGTCCTTACATGTAACTGAGTCACTTATCCAAGGATGAATGAAGTCTACTTGGCTGTAATTACATTTACATTAAAACATCCTCAAGTGTGATTCCCCCTTTTCAAAAGGTGTTAGCTTAAACTAAATTATAAGCTAGAACAAACACTAATATGGTCTTCTTTCCTTCAATCTGATTCCATAACCATGTCCCTCATGTACAAATAATAAATTGTGTGCATTTGTCAAAGGGAAAACAACAACTAAAAATTATCCACAGGTATACTGAATAGAAGGCCGAGCACATTATAATAGAATGAGTACTATTTCCTGATTTACTCCGAGCTTTTTAAAAGCAAGACTGTTTAATATTTCCCAGCCCATGGTAACAATATCTGTCATCACCATTAAGCTCAATGTGCAAAGAACAATTACCTTAAGACACAAAACCAGTAGGATAAATACGTTAACTGCCAAATTGGCTCCCAAAGCAATTGTGGTCTGTGAACCTAAAAGAGTCTCTAATGCACGGCTTTCATTCCCAAAGTTGATAATGCTCTCCCCAATGAGCCCATCTGATTTTAGTTTCTGAACTGAAATTCCCATCCAACACTGGAGTCCAACATAGCTCAGAGCAGTGCAGAGTGCTGAAATTGACAAGTAGCTTACGCCCATGGCAAATAAATTTATTTTTTTCAAGACAGAAAGAATCCCAGAATTTCATTAGAACCAGTAAGCATGACCATTTGCCCTCAAAATTGATTGCTGCAACTTAATATACTGCAAACAGTCCCTCAATTCTGATGGATAGTGAAACTTAAAGCAAGAAACCTGCATTAAAAGCAAAGAAATTCAAGATTATTTCCACAATAAAACAACACAAAAAGGGGCAGAAATATCATCATGTATCAACAAATGAAAATGACATGCTGACAGCACACTAAGTATCAGAATTTTTAAAGCTTATAGTTCACCCTCACAAGTATCTTCCCTACTCTTTTCTTTTCTTTTTTTGATGACCGAGAAATTCGTCCGGGGCAAACCCCTCACGAACCGCAGCCTTCGAAACTCGGGGATAATGGGCCCGCCCCTCTACCCTTCTCCACTATCTTGCCAACTCTTTCTTATTTGTTTTTTCATTTGGGATGGTATTGAAAGATCCGATTTGTGAAAGTCCCCTACTGACGGAACCCCAAAGAGTTATTTGTAAGCATTGGAAGAAACTGGTTCATAAGGAGCAGAATCAATATTGAGGATTCATATGCCTACCCCAAGTAGTATCGGGTTAAAGCTAAGTTTTCCTGGGGTTGTTAAATGGTCCAACTAATAACTCTGGCAATTTAACAGTTTCACTGAGCAGATACCAAACCTTACCAATGGAGGAACCAATTCTTCTATTCAGAGAATCAGAGAAGTCAACAATACAATTAGCATCTGTCCAACACAAAACCCTAGAACTAGCACGAGCTAACAAAAAAAGCTAAAATCTTCTGTGCACCAAAAAAGTGCTAAGGAAAAGTAAAAAAAAAATCGAAGAAATAAAGTAACACAATGATCTAAATGAAAAATTTAGTGAATAGAACCGCTGAATTGGCATCTCTATATACAAAAAATGTAAAAACATCAACATTGACATAAAAATCGGAAGAATAACGAACCTGTAAAGATCTCAGACAAAGATGAAAGCAGAAATCTTGTCGGCGAACTTTAGTCTGAGATCTTCAGCTTCATGTCAATGGATCAGCTTTTTGCGGGAAATAGATGTCTGACAGAAACAGCATAATTTAGGTTATTTAGAAATGTCTTTGCAGTGTTATTTTATCGAGAGTCGTTTAAATATACGACTCCTTGTCCTAGTCTTTACTACTCTTATTCCATCATTTTGTCCTTCCTTTGATTTTATTTTTCCTCTCTACTTTTCTTGATAGACTGTTCAGTATTGGGTGCTCAATTGTTTTCACCCCATTTTTGTTGATTGAAATAAATCTTTCAAATTAGTTTGATTAAAACGTTTACCTCGTTTTGATCCCTACAAAATAAGAGTTTAGGCTTTTATGCACTAAAGCGTAAAAGTTATTTGTATAATAAGATAATAGGTAATTGTTTACCCATAAAACGGTACAGTTGAATTTATACGTGGTTTCTAGACAGGTGAACTAATTTGATCCTGAAATAATATAATAATCAAAGAAATACACAGTACTTAGCCTTGGAATGTAGATGAAATAGCAAAGATAGTGATTCCGTGAACACGATTTCCGAACACAACAATGATGAGATCAGAAAGCAAGAGAGTGAAATTGTTGAAATTGTATAAAGTTTTGTATAGAATATAGTATATGTTCTTGCCAGAAATTCGTGTTTACAATGGTAACTGAGCTCACTATTTATAGTTATGCCTAGGGAAAAGGGTCCTAGAATCATGCCCTCCTTTAATGCCAATTATGAGGGCAGTAGCGAAGCCAGAATTTTGGTTAAGGGGTGTCAAAATATATAAAAGTAAACATACCAGGAAATTAAAGGGAGTCAATATATAATATATATATATACATATAATTTAATTATTTTTACCTATCTACACAGCGTATTTTTTTCGCGAATGGGTGTCATTTGACACCTCTTTCCTATAAGGTGGCTCGCCATTGTATGAGGGTCATTGATAAAGATATAACGTTGAGTGTAAATGTCAAATTCTTTGTAACGGATCGTCGCTCTTAATGCTGTAGAATATTTCTTAGTAAATACTACCGGGCGCAGAGCATTTAATACATTTTTATGAACGTTATATGTTCTGGTGACAAGCGCAATGACTGTGTTCGGTCTTCAGCCATTCCATCTCAGATTCCACGTGTCCTCCTTTTAGTCAGTCACGTGTCATATCATATTTTACCTTATACAGATAGTCCCCATGCTTTCCGGTGACATAACTTTGTGTTACCGGAAAGTTGGTGGAAACATCTTTTTGGCGGGAATTACTATAATTCCCTCTGAAGGTCTCTGACGGTTGATTAGACGCACGTCTCTCCGCATTTAATACCCCGAACACACGTCATCCCATGATTCAACACAGCTTTTTCCGATTATCGAGGTATTCATGGCAATGAATTTAGCCGCCAAAATTTTACTTATACGCAACTTTCTTTTCCTTTGCGTTTCACAATTGCTCGAGCTTCTGATTTGCATCCTTATTTTCAATCCTTTTTCTAATTTTCTTCAAACACAAACTCTTTTACCTTCTTCTTTTCCAATGGCTTCTTCCTCCAAACGTGGTGGTTCTACAAAGAATAAAAACAAAACTGAGGATTCCGTTCCTCCAACAGTGGATTCCATCATCCCAAGAAGGCTTAGTACTTCGAAGGATTTTGAAGAGAAATTTTATACTGCTAACCCTCGTACATGGGCTGTTAGTAGGTACCCTTCTTCCATTTGTCCTTCCAGTATTCCTGCTGTGAAGGAGGACTACCACTACATTGAGTTGGAAATTATCGCTCCTGATCTATCGGAGCGAGTGACCCTTCCCAAGGAAGGTTTTACATACTTTTTCACGTATCCCTTTACGTTGGGTGCATTTTCTTTGAGCGGAAAGCTTGATTCCGTGATTGCGGAGTTTTGCCTTCGCTATCAGGTATGTTTGGCACAGGTAAGTCCTTCAGTGTGGAGGATGATCGCCTGCCTCCGACGCTTGTGTCAAGAAACTGGGGAGGAGCTAACCTTCGCTCATGTGATGAATCTCTATTCCCCCAAAATCTTCCGCGAGGGAATGATAAACCTTTGCAAGCATGGCCATCATGCTTTGTTATCTAGCATGGATGATGACAACGACCGTGGGTGGATGGAACGGTTCGTTGCAGTTGCCACCAACGACATCATTCCGACAACGGCTTCATCCTTTCTGGTTGCTTGGAACCACACTCGTAAGTTCTTTGTATAATATTCCTCTTACTAGATATTCTTCTATGGCCGTATCATCTCTTCACCCTTTGCATGTTTCAGCAACTCAATGGCTCCCACCGGTGGTGGAAGGTTTGAACTGGTGGGTTCAGAAGATTTTGGACATTACGATGCCCGAAACTCGTTTGTGGAAAGAATTGGCCCTTAAATACGGGTGGAAGGCCAAAAATCATGGTAACTCTAATTTACCTTGCCTCAATTTTTGTATATGAAGCACTTGGTTGAACCCTTCTGACTTTGTTCATGGAATTAGGTCTACCTACGGGCTCTGTTGCTGTCCCCGAGGAGGACGTTCTGACTGATCCTACAGATGCAGCGAGGCTGCTTCAGGAAGCACTTACTCGAACAGGTATCTCCGGGCCTGTTTCGGGTGCAAATACTTCTTCACGGAGTCCCCGACCGGAGGATAAACAAACAAAGAGAAGACGCTCCTCCACGACTGGGGAAAAGAATAAAAGGGCAAAGGTTGATGCCCCTGAATCATCTCCGGTGGCGATGATGACTGGTCCTTTTTCTGGGCCGGTCGTAGACACCGTGATGATTAATGAAGAAGTTGTTGATAAGGGAGCTTCTTTACACAGAAGGCGATGATCCTCATCATCTCAACAAGATGCTCGACCTATTGAGATAGTTACACCAACTGAAGATGATGTCTCGGCACTTTGGGGAGAATCTGATTTGGTAGAATATGCCAACTCCCATTTTCGGGCCCCAATTGTTGCAACCCGTGCTACGGGGCTGAGTACCGGGTCCTTGCCGTCTTTGGTTGGCAAGCATCAAATAACCAGCACTGCATTTGATGCAGCTGCTTCTCACTCCTCAACTCCATCAGCTTCATCTCCACCTTCACCAACACCAGCAACTGCTACATCATTTCCATCTTCGTCTACACTTCCACCAACGGTTGCTACACCATCTCCATCGGCCGCACCTGACCATGAAGAAGGTGTTCCTCTTACACAGTCCCAAGTTCATGGGAACTTGGGGCAAAATTATGCTGCTACTTCTGAAGATCCACAAAGGAGGAGGAACATCACTCTTTCGGTCTCTATCGGGTGCAACCTGCTATCGCGGTCGGTGGAGCTTGCTAATTACCTGAAGCCTTTGGCTTCAGAAAAGGACTGGGAAAAGATTCAGACACTCTCGGGAGAGTGTTTGTTGAACAATGCTATGCATAACGCCGCATCGGTACATTCCTTCCTTCCTCTGTTATTTCTTCTACTTTGAACGAATGTATTCTAAATTTCACTTCTTCTTATTTTACAGGCCAACTTTCTTGCTTCTGAGGGCCTTCAAAGGTTGATTCGTGAGAAGGAAGAACTTACTTCTGAACGGGATCAGCTTTTGGCGGAACGGGACTAGATTGTTCTCCGCCTCTCGGAACTGGAAACTAGGCCTGCTGAGGCCGTTGTTTTGGAGACTCGTTTGCAGCAAAGCGAGCAAGAAGTGGTAACCCTTAGCCAAGAAATTGGGCCGCTGAGGGTTAATTTTGATGAGGCCAAGGCCAAATGGGCAAAAGTCCAGAACGTTGTTCTTGTTGGAGCCGACCGTGAGGCTGCCTCCGCGGAAAGAGTGATTAACTTGGAGGTCGCCTTGAACTCTAAAAGTGAAGAGCTTGCTACTGCGGAGGTGAAACATGCCCAGCTAAAAGAGAAGTACAGGAAAACCATTGAGCATAATAGGCTCTTTAGTTCAACTGTCCGCGAGCTCGACGTCAGCCTCAAATCTGCTAGATCCGCCCAGAAAAACCTTTTTGCCGATGTTACTCAACTCAAAGAAGAACTCAAGCACCGAGCGGCTTCCCTCATTGTTGAAAAAACATATTTTATGTATAGCATGAGGAGAAAAACCTTGGAAGAGACCAAAGCTAGTATTATTGACATTGATGCCGAAATTGCTAAGGCCCGAGAGCTTGAGTTGGCTGCAAAAAATGGACTCCCGGTGCAGTCTGATGCTCCAGGTTCTTCTGATTCCGGTTTTGAGTTTTCGAAAACTGAAGAAGGATCGGAAGGCAATGAGGCCGAAGACCAAACTTGGGAAAGCGTTGAGCCATCGGCGGAACCACCTACCCTTCCCGGCAATGCGGATACTTCTCTTCCTCATGACTCCGAAGGCACTGTAGTCTAGCTTTTTTTTTCTCCCCATTTTGTACTTGTAACGTTTTGGCATGTTCTTGTAAATAAAGATAATATTTTTTTGTTCAAGTGTCATTTGAGTCTTACTTTCGTTTGAATATCTATGCAAGCCTTTAACTTTTGCACTTACTCAAGCATTCTGCGCATGTTGTTCAATTCACGCTTTACTATGTGTAGTCTTGGATGCCTTTTCTTTGAAGCATTTTGGCTTCGAGTATTATCTCTTTTACGTGAGGTTTTTTATGAATATTTGCGCAAGTTTCCCTTTAATGTGAGGGTTTCTATGAATATTTGCGCAAGTTTTCCTTTTGCGTCCTTTTCATATACGACTTCGGGTGTATTTTTCCCCGATGGCATTTTGAATTTCGGGCATTGATTCTTCCGGAACCAACCCTTTAACGTGAGGGTTTTTATAAGAGATGGCCCTCTTATGTTTACGGTGCTCTTAAAGATGATGTCTCATGTTTATTACGACACTAACATTTGAAGTACTTGTTTAACTTTCAAATGACAAAGTTAGTTCATCGTTCAGACAAGAAACAAGATAAAAGCAAAAGGATTTCATTTTATTCCTTCTATTTTCAGAAATTACATAAGCATTTTGCTATGCAGAAAAGAAATTGTCATTACTTGTGGCCATCTTATACAACTTGTTTCTACGGGCTGGCTGCGCAGTCCTCGGTCCCGATGATGCATTTTATTTTTGGATTTTCATTCTTGGTTGACGTGGCAGTCAATGTTGTCGTATCCTCATATCATTCCCCCTACTGTTCGAATGCGAAGAATGC